GGTACCGGAGAAAAACCAAAAAAAAAAAAAAAAAAGAGAAGAACCGCTTGATGTAGGGAGCCTGAGCTCATCGGAGGAGAAGGTCTGTGAAAGTGGCGGAGGCCTGCACCCGGTCTCTGCCTTCTCAAAGCCCAGGTTCAGTGTGGTCGCCACGACTCCAGGGAAAGCATTAGAAAACCCTAAGTAAAACTAGAAAAGAATTCATAACGTGATTTTCTTTTCGTTGTTGTTGCTTTTTGATTTTTCAACTGGGGACTGAAATGAAGGCCTTCGCACTGAGCTACACTGCCCAGGCTGGGCTCCAACTTCCAATCCTCCTGCCTCAGTCTCCCACAGTGCTGGGATTACAGGTGTGAGCTGTCAGCTTTAATGTAACATGATTTTTATGTGCTGAAAACCTGCTAGGCACAGCTGGCCAGTTATAGTTCTCTACTGCAATCAGATTGTCTCTCGGGGGTCCTGCAGCCCCAGAAAGATGGAAGGGTGGATGGGGTCAGAGGCAGGCCCGCTCCCCCAGGAACCCTGCCACCTCCCGCCAGAGCAGTGCTATACTGGCCCTCCCGCCAGGTCCATGCACAGTGCCCAACAGGCACAACCAGGCCCCGTGGGTCAGTCCTGCCCTCCTGCGGGCCCTGCCGGCACCGCGGACCTGCACCTGAGCCACGGGAGCTGCAGGGGGCTTGTACCGCACCCGGGACTGGGAAGGGCTTTCCCCGCAGGGCCCAGGCCCAGAGCGCTGGGCCCTGAGTGCTGTCCCCATGAAGACACAATTCCCTGCTCCCTAGCCTCTGGCCTCTGCCCCAGGGGCGGCTCCCAGTGCCAGGCCCTGTCCTCCGGCCTGTACCCCTCCACCCTCTCAGGTACCACGTGTGGTCGGCCGCTGACAAGGCTGTGGCACCATCAGGACGGGTGAGATGTCAGAGTGGAAATTCCAGAAACACCTACTGGTGCAGCCACAGCCCGATGACTAAGTAGCAGTGTGAAGAACAGCCACGTTTTCCAGGGGTGAGGGCAGCGCTGCTCCGCCTCCGCAGCCGTCCCAGTGAGCACACTGTCACTGCGGCACACGGCCCGGACCCCACACCGCTGGACAGCCCAAGGGGACAGCACCCAGATGTCCAGGTTACTGTAAGAGTCGCCTCACCTCGTGGGCACCAGTGGGGCCTTGCACAAGCCTGGCACCCTAGGTCGAGATGCACAGACCGCACCGCCCATACGCCCAGGAGACAGTGCGGCCCAGGAGCCCCTCTCAACTCACCAATACCCCCAGGGCTTCAGTCACCAAAGCGCACACGGTCCTACTTTTCTTTTAAAAACATAAGCACTCTACGTAAATGACCACCAGGACCACCATCTCCTCTGCAGGGGCTGCTGCCCCAGAAACCACTACCTTTTAAAAATTTTAATTAAAAACCTTTTTTAAATTTTAATCTTGAGACAGGGTCTCACTAAATTGCTATTGCCCTGGTTAAGCTTGAACTTGATCTTCCTGCCTCAGCCTCCTGATTGCTGGGATTACAGGTGTACACTACCATGCCCTGCCTGAATCCATTTTTTAGAGTGTGAGAGTGAGCTCTGCTTTCTTGTGGTTCTCTCTCCTCAAGTGCTCTGCTTAGTCTGACTTCAGTCCCCTGGCAGCCACGCTACAGGTCAGAGAGGACACACTGGCTGTGCCCATATGGCACACAGCAGGCACAAGACAGGCCGAGACCCGGCTGCCTCTGGGGCCTCAAGGGACAGGAGGGCAGCACGCGGGGTCGGACGGTGGCCTGCACAGCCCCCGCTCCCTCAGTGCAAGCGGTATTACCTGCATCTGTGCTGCCTCAGTTTACCACACTGCCTGCGGGTTTGTGAACGTCTCACACACGTCACCTCTAAAACGCGGCAACTCCGTGAGGCTGGTGGACTGCATCACTAACCTTCTACAGCAGGAGAGACAAGGCTCTGAGAGGAGACACAGCCTGCTCAAAACTGCAACTGAACATCATGTGGCGGCACACGCCTATGATCCCAGCACTGGGGAGGCTGAGGCAGGAAGAACGAGGTGAGCTCAAGGCCAGCCTGACCTAAATAGTGAGATCCTGTCTCAAAAAAAGTTAAAACTGCACAGCTAGAAAGTCGAATGGCCAGAAATCACAGGATGAAAGGTGTATCTTCTGACACAAACTCGAGCCCACACCTTCATGTCATGTCCAAGAGTCCACCAAAAACCCCAGCAACAGAAAGTACCAAGTTCATACTCTGAGAACTAACCTGAAAAAAACCGTCTCTACTTTCAAAGTTGAATAGAAGTACAAAAACACGACTGCAACAAAGGATAAATTATTTTTGCTTCTTTACTATACAGAATAATCCCTCAGGAAGCCTGCATTTTACAAAACAACAGTTAAAATTTACTAAAACCAACACCGACCTGCAGCTGCACTGTGAAACTACAAATGTACCTCCCTAAACCCTTATTCAGGCTCTGGGTGAGCAGTGTCCCTGCCACCAATGCAGGGTGACGTCCCCACGCGCAGCAGAGGAGCCCGCGGGGCACAGCCAGAGCTCCGAATGAGCCGCTTAAATTACTAAAAACACCCATTATTGTGCACATGACAAGCTCTCCCCCATGTGTGTGAACCTCAGACATGTCCCCTCCCCGTGGCCCTCCACGGCCTCAACGTCTTCTGAGTTGTTTCCGATGACACACAGACAGGATGAAGAAAAACTGAACTTAAATGAATTCATCCTCAGGGCTCTGGGTCCAACCAGCCGAATCCCGTAAATAAGCCTGCAGGAAGCGCCTCCAACCGGGCAGGCTCTCGCACACACCCCACACAACAGGACCAAGGTCCCCTCTCCTCCCACCACGCAGAAAGCCAGGCCCAGGAGACAGCGCCCAAGCGTAGGTACGGAGCGGTTCTCTTACCTCCGCTTCGGAGCATCGTGAGCTTTCCAATTTACCTGTAATAAAAACACAAAAAGTTGCTGTCAAAGGCGTGCAGCACTTTTGCTCACTGATAAATGTGTCCACGCTACTCTGGCCGTGTTGGGTAGACCTATGCAAAAAATCTGCGGAGAGCTGCGCTTGGAGCCCAGAGGGAAATCACAATGAAAACCACAGAAGATCATGACTTGCTGTGCTAAGATAAAAATATACATATATTTAATATACATACATACCAATTAATCAAAGGAAAAATACTTATAAAGTGTTGCTTTCTTTTTTAAATGTCTTAACGTACTTTTAGCAGTTTAGATATATTTTAAGAAACTGTGAAGACTCGGGCTTTGCCTCAAATTGATTTCCATTTTAAAGGCACAGTGACCATTTCAGTGAAATCTGAAATGTTTCAGCACCATAAAACCATACAATTAATTCAGCAATCTTCCCAATAAGAGGTTCCCTACACGATAACAGGAACGGAACAACGCCACACGGCCCACGTGGGCACCTTCACCCCAAGACCCTGGCCACGCAGCACAAGCACAGGCCCGCACCCTCCGCTCCGTGCGGGGACTGAAACACTCCTATGAAGAAGGCTTATCTGAGAGGAGAATCACTTAGTAAACAGGAGCTCCCACAGGACAGGTAAGGCCTCGCGCTGGGTGCAGGTCGTACGACTCCCAGTCCGGCACTGCTGCACAGCCCATGCCCTACCCTGCCAGTCCTCAATACCTACAGGACCCACCTGTCTCACAGTCTGCGGCAACACCAGCAAAGACCAGCACAGGGCACAGTGCTTGTGTGCCACCCGCTTCTTAAAAAGAAAGTAAAACTGAAACCCGCAATTTCTCATCACCTGATGATCCCCACACACAACACCAGCTGAAGCCAAGGTCAGAGCACGGGGAGCCCTGGCTGCTGCGAATTAAGGAAGTCACATAAGCCAGGCATGGCAGCACACACCTGTAATCCTTGTACTTGGAAGGCAGAGGCAGGAGGATGGCCAAGAGTTCGAGGCCAGCCTGAACTGCACAGCAAGACCATGTCCCAAAAAAACAGGTCATGTAAGCAATAAATAAGTAACAACCACAAGACCATAAATACAGGGTGAACTTAATGCAAAGGCTGTTACAGCGGGGTGTGCCGAGCAGAGGCGGTCACCTACACGTCACAGCTCACACACACTCACGTGATGCTCGGCACTCAGTCCTAGCAGGTGACAAGTGACACCAACTGAGGTGCCACGGGCAAGGCAAGGCTCCTCGGCCAACTCCTGGGGTCCCCTCTGCCTGGAGTGGTGCCCCCCACAGGCTGTGTCCCTAAAGCAGAGAGGACCCCTCGAGGGTACCCCCCAGGGGGATGGGGGGCCCCACAGCTTACATGGGGCAGCTTGGAACAGGAGGACAGATGGGCTTGGGGCTCCCTGACCTGCAAGGCCGCCTGCTTGCTGGCTCTGCCTGCCCAGGTCAGGCCACGCCAGTGCTGCACGCAGCAGGACCCTGGGCAGTGGCCACAGGGTGAGGACGGGGCCAGGACGTGGCCCAGAGGCTCCGGACGCCAGAAGTTGCTCTGGTGCTAAGGAGCAGAGCGAGTCCAGGGCCACAGGAGTCTGTGAAGCAGGACCCTCCTCCATGGCCACGGTCAGGAAACTGGAAACGCGGCCCTGCAGGAATCCCACGGGTCTGGCCAGCGTGGCACCGCCCTCGGCCCTTGCAGAGAAGCGGGGAGCACCGCCCAAGCGCCCATGCCACCCTGTGCCTGCGCCACAATACTGACCTGGGGCTAGGCATCCCCACCCCGTGACCTCAGAGATCTGGACTCAGGACCCTGCCCACCCGCCCCTCCAGCAGGCAGTGACTCACAGGGCAGCGGCTGAGTCCTTGTCCCCGGGCTGGGGCGGTGGCGCCTCCGGCAGTGCAGGGCGAGGGGATCACGTGACAGCCAGCGTCTCCACCAGGGTTGGCTCTGCTCTACAGAATCCGCCCAGAGCCCTGAGCCTGGAAACCTTGAGACCCTTTGAGAGTCCTCCCTGCCCAGTGCACAGCCGGGAGGTAGGGGCAGGACAGCTAGCCAGGTAGGGTGTAAAGTAAAATATCTGAAATGGTATTTAAACCTTAAGTTTTCAAAACATTTCAAAATTCTCAAAGAGTATCTTATAAGTCAGGCATGGTGGTACACACCTGTAATCCCACCACTTGGGAAGCTGAGGCAGGAAAACCCACATGAGTTCAAGGCCAGCCTCAACCTGGCTGATTCATAGTGAGAACCTGTCTCAAGAAAAAAGAAAAAAAGAACAGAAAAAAATATGCATGCTAAGAGAAGAAACACCTGCACAGGCAGCCAGAAGTTCCATGCAATGTTTTCCAAAGGGACTGAGCGTTAACTGTTGAAGAATCGTGACCCACACTACTCAGGACGCTGAGGCAGGAGGACAGCACGTTCCAGGCCAGCATAGGCAATTTAGCAAGACTCTTACCTCAAATTAAAAAATAAGGGCTAGGATGTAGCACAGTGGTAGTGTCTTGCCAAGCACACACGAGGCCCCAGTTTCCACCCCAAGTACTGCAGCAAACAAAACCCTGTTTGTCTTTTTAACTCTTCTGAAATATCTGATTGCTCTTACAGTTCAATGGAGGGGGAGCCAATGCCTTCCTGCAGCTGATGGGGCAGCTGTCACCAGCAGTGCAGCAGGGCATGACCACCCCCAGCTCCTCAACCCTCACAGGGTCCCCACAAGAGCAGGGCGGCAGCGGCAGGGCCTGGAGCCAGGGCACTGCGCAGAGGGGACTGGAGCTAAGGACCAGGGAGGGCGGGCCCGCCTCCACCTCTGCACCTCCGTTCTCACACTGAGACAGGACCATGGGGCAGCCACAGCAGCATGACCTGTCACCTCCACACAGGGCCCTCGGTGCAGCCATGCTGCCACTGACCTGGGAGGGAGCGGAGCAGAGCAGGCCTCTGCAAACAGACGCCAGGTCTGCGCCCCAAGCTCGCTGCCCAAGCATAAGGCTGCCAACGCTGTTCCCCATGCGCACGTGGTGGGGATAAAGGTGCACCTGCCAGTCGGTCCGCGGTGAGCATTCAAGATGACATCCCGTGGACAGGAGGCCCCTGGCAAGTATCCACTTACACCTTGCACTGCTCTCCAGGGAAGTGCGGAACCCTCTGGACGCCAGGGCAGTCAGTTCACAGGGCACTAGGCCTCACCTGGTCAGTCCACAGGACACTGGACCGGCCGTGCACAAAGCCCCCCTCATCCCCACTCACCCAGGAGCCCCGCAGCTGCGCCGGGGTCACAGAGCTGTAGGGCAGTCCTAAGACTGCATGGGGAGGTGCGAGGCCTCACCCTCCTGGCTGCCCCTGCAGCCTTCCCGGCAGCCCAGGGCGAAGCACAGCTCCCACACACCCCGGGGCCTCATCCTGCCTCTCACATGCTTCCTCCAAAGAGCGCAGTTCCATGAACAACTCTGGCTGGAGACGTCCCTCAGACTTCTGATAATTTCTGCAAAGATCCCAGCCTAACAGGAATTGCTAGAGCAGCGCAGCTGTTCTGAGCACCCCTGTCAGAATGTACTTTAGAAGGCAGAAGCCAAGTCAAGCATGGTGCTGCAGGGTTGTGATCCTAAAACCCTTGGAAGCTGAGGCAAGAGGATCCCAAGCTTGCGCCCAACCTGGCTAACTTAGCAAGACTCTGCTTCAAAATGAATAGAGGGAGGTGAGGATGTAGCTCAGTGAAGGCCCTAGGCTCAGTACCACATAAAAAGAAAATAAAAAGGTAACAGGCACCCAGCCAATCTTCTCTAGGCTTCTAAAACTACCTGCCATTCTAGCTGTGCCACAGTGCCGACCGAGTTCTAAGAAACTAGGTTGTCAGTGAGACAGCTCACTACTCAGCGCTAACCTACACATGGGTGAAAGGGACCACGCGTGCTATGCGCTGGTGGGAGGCCCTGGACTGAGACCGTGGCGCAAAGACCTCATTTCTGCAGCGGAGGGCTCAAATCAAGAAAAAAAAGCACCCTCTAAGGCCAAAGAACTGTGGCAGTTGCCCAGGCTGCCGACCCGACCCAGCTATCAGTTCTCCTGGCTCAGGAAGGAGGGACAGGAAGCAGCCGGGTCCACAGTGAGCTGCGGCCAGGCCAGGCCGGGGAACTGAGCCAGGGCGGCTCACAGCTAATAGACAGGCAAAGGGAAACCGCCCACACCCGGAGAGGCCAGGGCACCCGGAATGCCCAACACGATGATGTGTTCAGTCGCGTCTCTAGGAGCAGGAGTGCTGCACCGTGCTGCAGCCCCAAAGGCACACAGTCTACCAGCAGCGCGGCTCCTACAGTCATGGACTGGGACCCCCAAGGCCTCTGACGTCACCAGCACTCGAGGGCAAGCGCCCGCCCGCCGTCTGCTCAGAACTTGGCTCTCCTCCTCCTCACCAGCCCACCCCACCGGCGCTCCGCTGCTGCAGGTCACCTTACACTGCCTGACAGCGCCTGGCCTCCAGGGCTCAGACGGCCGCACCTCTCACCCTCACTGCCGGTCTCCTTCCCAGGACGGGCCCAGTCCTTGACCAACACCAGGGACAAAACCCACCCCGGGTCCCTGGCCCAGGCCACTCACTGGCTCTCGCCATGGCAACAGAGGCCCTGCAGGACCCACAGCCCTGACTGGACCCACAGCCCTGTCGCCCCAAATGTAGGAGCAAGTTCGAGCCCCAGCTTCCCAGCCTGCTCTAGGGCACTGACCAGAATGGAAGTCCTTCAGACATGTACTTCTCTTCACAACTTTCACACGTCTCACCAGACAAACATCATTAAATGCTACCCATTTCCACCAAAAAGTATCTGCTTTGGTTTGGGGAGGCCTTCCCAACGCCTCTCAGGTGCTTCCTACAGGTGCATTTGTGCCTGCAACTCCTTACCGTGTAATTTATGTAATAAGCAGCACAGAGCCCACGGCCCGCGGCCCACACAGGCCTACTCTCCGGTGCCAGACACAGCGGCTGGCAGTGACTCCGCGGGCA